TTGGGTTATACGAATGCTTCAAGGCCTTCCTTCTACTAAACCAACTGCCTCCATTACCGAGATACAGGGCGCTCATATTATAAGGTAAGGTTATAAAAACCATCTTTTAAGATCATTTTAGTGAAAGTTTCATCCTTCAAGGCGTACCATTCACTGCTGAAATACTAAACAACCTGCTTCCATGGCCGAGATACAGGGCGCCCATATTATAAGGTAAGGTTATAAAACCACCATTTAAGATCATTTTAGTGAAAGTTTCATGTTCCTATCTCATAGAATTTAAGAACAATGATGAATAAATAATTTTCGAGCAAAATTTAAATGGCCGGCTGAATATATTACCGCAGGAGCCGCGGCCGCGGAATTTAAATGACCACGTCAAAGGGTTAATAAATGCTTTCCAGAACAGAAATTATCTTAAGACAATAGATAATGACTACAAAATTTTAAATTAACATTTTATGCTACAATTTCATTTACATAATAATATTCTGAGAAAATCTGAAGAAACATGTGGAGATCATTATCAGGCTGAAGAAACAAACCATTCCTTATGATAATGTTGGGATGCTCGATATTATTTCTAATCACAGAAACTTAACTGAACTGAGTCTTACAATTGAGATAAAAGGTAAAGTCGTCCCAGAGCCTAACCCCCACCAAATTAAGTTACATACTAGAAACAGAGTTAAAGCTCTAGGCATTATCAAACTCAGTGTTTGGTGAAGCCCAATGTTCAGCTTCAACTAATTTCACTACCAAAAGAGAGAAATCACTACCTATTCAGGGATATGGGCCACATATCATCCAGCTGTTACTGGCCCTGCAATGCAGTAGTGTAATGGTATGTGAACAATCTAGTTCGCTGTTAATGTATTTTTTAAATACTAATACCATTACCCTAACAACATAAAATATGGCCACCAGCCCCATAATACTAGGGATTCATGATCCCTCAATCTTGGAAGATAAAAAGTTACCAAGAATTACTAAAACAACTGGCCAATCCTAAAGTAGCACCTAAGTACCTGCTCTGATGGCAACACAGCTTTATGCTCACAGGGAAAGTTAGAAACATAAAATGTAACACAAACGTTCTTGCATTCAACAACAAACATTAAGAACTGTGAATAAATCAATTAAAAGCAGTTTGGTGTATGCTTTCATAAAAAAACCCCATGCACAAAAAATTATATATCATTTGTTTTGTGAATGTAAAAAGAATGATGTCATAAACAAATCACACAAAAGTTTCTTTTACAGAAAATAGACTTGAACCGCAAAGACAGAGAACACATTAGACGAAATCCAAACTTAAGGACACGTGATAATTTTCACGATTAACATTTTGCTATATTTAGCACTAATATAAGTGGCATAAACTTCTACATTTTATTTTTTGTAATGATATCTCGGCTCAGTGTGAAACAAATCACAATATGGCCATATTACTTCACCACAAAAAGCACACAAAACATCAAGATATAAAGTGAGTACTCATTTAAAAAGGAAAAAAATAATGTCATAATCTCAGTTACCAAATTTGCACAAATAAAAAAATCACATAAAATCAAGCTCCAACCTCAGAAAGTAAAGTAGGCATGTAATGTATCTGGTAAATTTTGATACAATCTCCTCACAAACAGAACACATTGCAAGCAAAGTGCTTCCTGCTGCCGCTGATACTAACTTAACTCACGGGTTTCTTTTCCCTAAATTTACTCCAGTGATTTTTCCAACTCATCAAATTGAATAATGTGATGGATTAATCACACTCAATACACTTTTCTTCCTGTTTCTTCTTGACTTGGGTACATGATGATGACTGCGGCTTAGTGGCACTGCACTGAATGACGAAATCTCCACTGAATTTTTGTTCTTTTTCGCTGGTACTCTTACCTTGAGTAATTCATACAGGTAGTATCGGATGTCATAGTCTGTTAACGTTTGATACAATTGTTTGAAGTCTGTGTTATTGACATGTTCAAAGATAAGAGCAGGAGTTCTTGAGACTGGATCCTTCACGACAGCCTGTAGTGTGATTATGTTCGTTCCTCCACGCAGGTTCTCCAAAATCTTTATTTCACGTTTAATCTTCTTCTTTTTCACTGGCTACAGAAACAAGAATTTTTGTATTTCAGATTACTATAATATGTAACTTCCACACAGCTAAATCTAGTGATGTGATGTTAGGCTTTGGTACATGAAGTGAGCGTGAACTCAACATCAACGTCACTGAAAATATACATGGAAAATATGTAAAACTCGATACCACACACAATTAGCAGTTTTATTACGGCGCCGTCAGCTATATTTTAAGTACTGTATAAATACTAGTAACCTTATGGATACTGATCTCACAAATACAAACAATGATCAGCACTCGTTTCCCCATACTTCCTGATCTTCAAGAACTATACATATTGGAGGAAACTGCTTAAGCAACATTGCAAGTCCACACTTGAAAGTATTAATAACATAATGAGAACTTCAAGTGGATTCAACAACTGATATGCATTTAACTTTCACAATTCGGACACCAACAATCATCCCATATATGTTATTAATTTTGAGACATATTAGTTTTATAAAATTCTCTCAGGCTATATCAGCCATGCCAGTTGGTTAAAAATTAGTGTAATTTCATGTCTGTTTCTGTGCCAATCATCAGAGTTACCGTCCCATTCATATATGAGCCTCATCATAGGTCACAGGCCCAGGGAATTTTATTAATGTCAGACACTGTGGAAGTTTCAGTTCTTACATACTTTAGTTTCATGAGACATATAAACATAATAAATCTGATTCAAATATAATTCCAGAATGTACAGACAGGCATAAAAACATACCCGTTTACTGCAAATGCAGCAATATAGACAGTGCTTGAGGTGGAATGAAAATAGAACTGGGATGCCATCCTGCCACATCCCACCCCACCTCAAGCCCTGGGTATTGTACATCGCATTTACTGCCAAAGAAGTAATGGGATGCTTTTAAGCCATTTAGAAAAGAACCGGGATGCCATCCCACCACACCTCAAGCCCTGAATATAGATGCAATACCTCTTAAAATGGCCAAAATAATCCGAGAATCCTTTCCAGTTCAGACAAAATTTTAATTCTGTTTATTTCTGTTAATTCCATTAATAAAGAAATTTGAAGAACTGATTGGAATGGAAAAAAGATAACTTGCACCATCATTTACTTTGATACTATTCCAAACACTTTTTGTATTTACAGTGAAATGTGCATTAATTAATTCCTGATATAATGTTTTCCAAAATTTAAAATTTAATTTATGTAGCTCTGGTTCCCTTACTTCTATATGCACTTCCTTCCATTCTTGGATTCCTCATGTCAATGTTCAAATTCACAGTCCTCTAAAGAAACAGTAAATCTGAATGCCAGTGAAAGTCATCACTATAAATAATTCCATTATATGTTGTAAATACGTGTACGTTCGTCAACACATCGACACATGGGCCCCCTTCTATTAAATGAACTAACACTTGTCCACATTTTATAAAAATTCAGATGTGAAATGAATTCAAGACCTGGACACTAGTAGGTATAAATGTAGGAATATTAGATTTTCATCACAAATCAGATGATTAAGATCGGCTTTCAGTTACATGAGCAAAAAATATGGCAAAACACAAATATGACACAACCAATCAACACTGCATTAAATTTCTAGACTTCTGCTAGACATGTCAAGGCCAATTCTCTAACATGGTTTTGAACATTATGAGAAAAGAAACAGATCTTAAAACATATGTTTTGTGTGTTAAAATGATTAACTTTATTGTTAAAAATTAAAATAAAATCCATGAAATGTCATATGCACAACGAGGACATCTCTTATCACAAATAATGAAATTTCTACCTTTGGGTCTGAACTTCCAACCATAATTTACAATAAAAGACTTTTACTCCCATCTTCAGAAATCAAATCTTTGTTACTAAACACCACATTACAATACTCATAGTGTATGTGGATGTGGGGCGAGGCAGCCATGACATCTTCATTTTGTTTCTAGATGAAGGTGAATGGCCACATCCATACAATGGCTGCCTCTACTAATGAGAAAAGTGACCTATACAGGCAACACAGAAAAATAGGTGGGCAGCAAAGTCACTGCACTAAACACAAAGTTTTCTTTTTGCAATTCATTTCTTGATGCTGCTAGTAACTGGACAGTGCCCAATGATTAATGAAGAATGAAATTCTAAGGATCTGGAAATAAATGGTCATGGCATAATTTAATGTGCATGTGCTAAGAGGGAGCAAGGAAAACTATGTACACAAAAAACTCTCACTCTGGACAAACAGTATCCTCGGTGAGATTCAAACCATGCACCTCCAATATATAAGATGGAAGCTTTACTGTTCTGGCAAATTTTAAAACAGTTCTTAAAAAAACTTGAAAATTAAAAGGTAAGATTCAAAATAAAATATACTTCTACAGATTTCTCAGAAAGAAACGTACACATGTGCAGAATTCTCAATTTACTAACCTACTTCTGACCAGTAATACAAGTAACAATCAAGGAATCATGTTAGAAGCAGACAATTAACATGGTATAACATGCTGCTGTCTACAACCATATTTCACCCTGATTCCGATAACAATCTGTTCTCAGGCTCAATGCTAATAATAAAATAAACATATTAATATGCATACCTTTAATATTTTCACTACACATTTCTCATTGTTTGTAATATTGATGGCTTCAAAGACTTCACTGTATTTCCCTCGTCCAAGTTTTCTAACAAGCTGATAGTCATCTTGCTGTCTGAAGGAAAACCAACGTGTTAGCTAATGATCATGAAATAATGTGTACATGTCTGTTCTATGGATAAAAAAGAACATCGGGAAATTCTGTATAAACAAAATGTTACACAGATGAGCCAGTACATCAAATGGAGCAAATTCTAACAAAGAATGTAACAAAAAGAAAGAATAAAGTACTGATACTGACAGCAAGAATATTGTGTAATTATGTACAACTTGCATCAAACTGCATAAAATCCTAAAATCAATTTATTATACAAAGTTTTGCTACCCATATGAGTCAGAACAGAAAGACAAACAATGTCTTGAAAGCTACAAACACGCAATGCCTTTCTCAGACCTCCCCTCCCCCAACTGCTTACACTGGGTCATGTCCAAGTGTTTGGACAACTTATGTTCAGTCCAGGCAACAGCTGCGTAATTGAACATCAAAAATGTAACTACAATGTGCAGCAAACATCTAAGCAGCACAAAACTCCACCAAATGCTACTACCATTTTAATCCTACTCTTGAGGAAATTCTCATTTGTACTGCAAAGGAAATTCGATTCTACTGCTGTACATATTTCATATACAGCTAAACTGCAGCAACTTCCAGAACCAACCACACAAAATCCAACTTCAATGTTAAAATTATTGAACATTTATATATACTGCACTAATTTTCTTATTCAAGGCTATGCAAAAATTAAATAATCTTCTGGAACACAATGAAATAAAATAGCCCATGAACATACAGAATCTACTAGTACATGAACAACTGGGCCATAACAAAGTTTTGTGGCATTCACCTCAAAGTTTCAACAAATTCACAAAAGTGAAGTACTTATTGCTAAACACACTATTTTTACTGATAATGTGTATTAAAATACTTGATCTAAGTGGCATATAGTGATAAACAATACATGTTTATGGTAAACAACTTATTAAATAATGCATGTCGATGTCAAATTTCTCACACCCTGCTGAACTCTAATGGCCCCCATTCACACACAGTTTGGCTCCAGTTCGGCCTGCACAGTTAAAGACTGAAAGGCAAAACTGACGCATGTGGTGCGGCCGGCTGGCCAATCATTTGGACTGTTGGCCTGTGGGAAACCTGTCAGTCCATCAGTTCTGCCTGCAGGACCATAGCACGTGACGTGTGAGACTCAACATTATAGGCTGGAAGACCGTGATTGTGGCATGAAGCCTGCTGCCTTATCTGCGGGGGTAAACTGTCACAGTTTTGCCTGTAAGGTCAATCAGAAGGCCAAACTGTGTGTGTATGGGGGGCCTTAGTCCTATATTTTGTATTTTTACCAACTAATCAAACTAACAGGGAATCTCTCAGCTCCACTCATAGTAAATCATGTTTAATCATAAAACAATCAAAACAGGTGCACACTATGTTATCAATGTGAAATATGAAACTTATGTCACTAATTACACATCAAAAGAACTGAATAATATGCCAACAGGAAAAAACTTCATAATACTGGGACCATTTCTAATTGCTTCTGAACTGACTCTATTTATAGTTATTAAGTGTAACGTCTATTCTAAACCCCTAAGTCTCTTTACCTGTTATTGAATCTTTATTTTATTTATAGACACCAGGCCTAACACACATAAACAAATCAAACTTACTCAAGATAAATGCCAACATACTGTTGTTACACAACAAATAATGCCTATGTGCATTAAATCTCTTACACCAAATAACCAGAAAACTTAATTAGCATTAGCACTTACCCCCAGTCCACAACATATGACTCATAATCCCAGTATTCGCGTGGCTTATGAGAGTTGATATCTGAATAAACTCGTGAACGGCTTGGTAGAGCCATTTTTAGAGCCCAATGCGACTGGGATCTCGAGCAGGACGCACGACTTATAGGCCCTGCCGCAACATAAGCTTGGAATAATACTCCTGAAAATATAAACATGTTTAGATAATCAATGGTATAAAATATATCATATACCATCAGGTAATATGAATATTATAAAGTATACGCAGTAATGTAATTGGTTGAGGGGCTATGCTACAAGCCGGAAGGTCGCGGCTTTAAGGCCCGATGAGGTCATTGGATTTTTTTCAATTAACCTAATCCTTCCTGCCGCACTATGACCCTGGAGTCGACTCAGCCTCTAACAGAAATGAGTACCAGGAATTAATTAAATAATTTTCCTGGGGAGTAAAGCGCGACCGGCGCTTAAGGCTGACCTTACCGCCATCTATGAGCCGATAATGTGGGACCCTCAACGTCCCACAACCCTATGGGCCTTCACGGTCTGGTACAGGGATAACTTTACTTTTTTTTTTAGTTATGTAAAATACTATCATTAAGTCAGTCAGATCGATATTTTTGTGTATAGCGTTATTAATTACACTTACATAACTTCTGTGCATGTTTAGTAATGTCGAAACAACACTCAAACAAAACTGGATAATTCAATACACGCAAACTAACCTATATAAATACTTGAACTACCAAATTACTTTCCACTTCTGTATAACTGACTCAAAAACATAAAACACAGTATAGTTTTCTTATCACTATCTACATTGAGGAGCAACATTTAAAACTTCTGACCTCTCCAAACATAAATCATTTATACTGGCTCCTACTGAACATTTAATCAGACTACACGATACACTGGCATCCATCCCACATAAAAATAATTTATTATACCACACCCATGCACATAAAAGCCATAAAATTATCTCTTACACTTATTAAGGCAACTAAAACAAAACACATATATCAGACTGTAAAAATAACATCACATACGAATCCGAAAAATAAAATAGCCACTTCTCCCACATTCGAGCAAACGCCATTACTTGCGCCTTATCTTCCATCGGGAACTAAAGTACATCAATATTTCGCACATGATTTCTGCATACCTAATACATTCCGAAGTGGAATCCTGGTTCACTAATGAATACACATACACAAAGAATTTTAATATATATAAAATGGCGTGGAAAAAAGGCTTCCAGTTCACAATTCAATTGCGTATTTTAAGGTGAGCCGGCTTCTCAAAGAGTAAAATTCAAGATGGCTGCTTACAGCCGCCACGGAAAACTGGGAAACGAGGTTCGCGTAGGACATTTCTTCCACCCCCCTCTACAGTTCATTGAGTGTTTTAGAGGATGCGTAAGAGATGGCGAAACATTCGTCAGTGCAATTTTCAATTTGATAAGGCCGTTATGTCGATTATGTGTCTTTCACATTCGTTACGAAACGTGTTTTGATGGTTTAGTAATGCAGATTGATGCGGATGTCCTACAGAAGGAAGGTAACAGAACAGCGCGCATATAGAAACATAACCAAAAACAATTACAGAGGCACGAGCAGCAATATTATAAAACTTCTATCAATATATTACGCAAAATGTTGCAGTTAAGGTCTGAATTTACTGTTTCGCTAGACAAGTCATTCGATACGTATCTATAACCCAGAGTGCCATATGTCGGCATAATGTAATAATTCCTTCCGATTAGGTATGACACTTTGTTGCCTGCAAAACGTCATTGCTATCGAGGGATCGATTTCGTAATTTCGCGATCTGCCATCTAGTTCCTACATGTAATATTTAAGTTTGCATTACCATCATAGAGAGAAGTCTGCATTTTGTGTACTGTTAAAAGGATTTTTATTAATTCGTTGGCACATTAAACCCTTTGACCGTTCTCATCGTTTTATCCGACCCATTGGGTACCTGTGGCAATTTTCCGGTCAGGGGAGGTGGGATAATTAAAGCAGTCTATGCGTGAAGCCGACCACTCATTTCCATCCAGTGCCGAGGTCAAGAATGGTGGAGCTATACCTCCACTCTCCAAAATGTCTTCATAGCATAGTGCTTAAATAATTAAGTACAGGTACAACTTTGCCTTTTCATTAGTTTTATCCTGAGGGCCTTGCCTGATCCATGAGTCACACTTTGTCAACCTGTAATTTTGACTTCACATATATTTCGATAATGGTTGGTTGTGATGTGGTTATCACGCTCTGTTTGCTTTGTCTCGAGGGAAATGAGCTGCTGATGCCCACAATGTGATAGAATCATTGCATCCCGTATAAGCTTCTGCAACACAGCTCTTAGGTCCATGGATAAATTTATGTTTATTGCACCTTGACTTTCAAGTAAAACCATTCCAACTGGCTCATATACCACAAACCAATGCTTTCCTGAAAATCTATCTCCTCTCCATAATGGCAGTATCATGGTATTTTGGTTAACAATCCAGCCAGGTATGGGAGGCACCCACTTTGAATCAACTGAGAAACTTCCATAACCTAAGTGAACTATTTCGTAGTTTTGCTTGATGCCGTTGAGCAGATACCTAAAACAGATCCACCAATTCACAGTTAATGTACACAAAGCCAAGATAGAACAAATTAAAATTTGTATACTGAAAATTTTGGGTATTTGGAAGGTTTTGAATTTAATACCACAAGTATTTTAGATTGGAGGTTCTCACAGTGGTGGTGGCTAGTGAAAAGTACTATCTTCTGGGATGGGAAGGGTGAGCCAAGTTACTTCATTTACTCTTTGACCTCTAGATGGAATCTGTATGTTCTTTCTAAATGCCTGTAAAGTAGACCACACTGCATTATACTCCTGAAAGATGGTACACTTAATGTTGTTAATTCCACATTTCCAGATTTATGTTGTCCTTGCCTTTTTTGATTGTATTTGCATTGTGTTCTGTGGACACTCAAAAAACGTGTAGTGGACCATGTGGTTTTCAAAATAAGCTTAAAATATGCATTATGTATATGTAGCAACTTTTAAAACAAAAATGTTTAAAAAGTGTTGCAGGTAAGATGGAACATCAGAGACATTTATTAATTAATAATATGCAACAGGATCCTATAATATAATATTAATTTTGCTTGTCCTTGTCCTGTCTGCTGTGGATCTACCTACTCAAGGAAACTAACAATGGCCATTTTTATTAGCAGGTTCAGTACAAATAAAAAATAATCTTGAAACTGTTTATATCAATAAAATTGCAAATTTCTTTCATGGTTACTAAACATTTATGTACACAATTTCCATCTTATAACATTCATCCATAATTATTCACGGAAATTATACACTTATGTACCAACTGCATGGCTGTAATTTTACAAATAAATTCCCAAGCTCTTTAAAAACTAAACACAGTAAAAAGCCAAAAATTAAACATAAGTATTCTGTTTACTTAAATGTGGTAGATGGTTTAACAAAAGGTATAATGTGATGATTCTTAGAACAGTAACAATATATACAATTTAACAACAAATATAGAAATGTAAAGCTCCTCACACATTCTCTACTTATATGTCACTTATGTTTTAAGTGCTTCTGACTGCTTATTAGACAGATTCAGCAAATTAAATTATATATTTACAGATTTCATTGCTGACCTATCATACAATTTTATCACCACCATCAAATGAAAGCAGAAATGCAGTGCCTGTACCAGACCTTCTCACTTATTATTAGCCACACAGTAACAGATGAAACACATGCAGGATCACTGCAAAATGTATTGGACTGCTTACTGAACAGTAACAGCCCTGCAACATATCACACATTTATAAGCTCAACCTTAAAGTGTTAGAACTTGCCAGTTCTGAAAATGATTCTTAACTGAAAAATTTAACACAGTATACAGAGTAAAATCTGTCTAAAATGGAGCCTGGCAGAAACTGAAACATGTCTTTATCAGAAAACTTCTCTGGTCTAAAAAATAAAGTGTAAATTTGTGGAAAAGGGAAAGGAAAATCGTTAGCTGAAATATATACTTATTCTTTCAAATGATTTTATTCTGTACTGTGCTTCCTGAATTCATGTTGTGAACTCTGGGTTATGCCAACATACATAACAATGCTTCTAAGGAACATACTGCTTTGATCTTCTTAAGGGTTGAAGTCAACCGTAAAGATGGAGACAGTATACTCCCAAAAGAAATCTTAAATGGGGACTTCAATGTATATAGTTCACAGTGATGATCAAAAAAAAAAATCTGAATATAACTTATATTTTTATAAACTGTTATCACACATCTCCAGTGAAAAAATATGAGAAACAAATTCACTGCATGGAATTATATTCACGCTCTTCAGTACATTCACGTGCCTGGGAGTCATTGGGGACTGTGTATTTAATTCTGATAATTAATGTATGGAACATGGTTGTAATAAGTCCGAATTTTCATGATTATATAAAAAAACTAAATACACTGGCATAAACAGATTGAAAACAGCTGGCTGCAGAGAAGTGCTGGTGATGTGTACATCATGTATTTGCTGACCCCAAATCTTACTTGAACTAGACTGATATCAGAAAATAAAGACTCAAGAAAATCTGTGTCAATACTGACAATGATACAAAGAAATCAAGCCCTTAGCTATATTTTGTTTTAAAGTAACCATGCAGTATACATAGTATCCATTTGTTCTGAAATTTTACAATCGTGTCTTTTCACTGCTGCAGCGAATATGATTAGTTCAACATTCAACATAGTGTCTCAGCAGTCCCCTATGCTGTGATACTGAATGTTGAGCATGCAGTACTGAAACCATAATCAACAGAACTAAGACATAATGAAAGCTGTCAATCTTACTTTATACATTTCATCTTCACTTGCCATACAAAAAACATATAGACAAAAATAAATAGAGATACTATTTCTAACAGTTTACAGCATGAAAAGCACATGAGCAATTATGAAAGGGTGTTAATATGAACATTAAGTTGGTAGGCAATTAGGAAACACTATTCTATATTAGTCCAGTCTAGAAAACCAACAGTCGCCGGAATCCGTTGCGCTGACCATGCGACACCCTCTATCTGCAAAAGTTGGCACTAACTTCCCCGACAAGTGGCAGTCGCTTGTTCGGTATAGTTTGTTTGCGGACTAAAAGCCACAGAGTTATTCTATATTAGTTTACTATACCATTTCAGTTATTCTAAATTATGTTATTGACAAATCTGTTGTTACTATTATTATTATTTGTATCCAATAAAACTGGAACATAAAATACAAGATGTGAGAAACAATTCTATACCAAACCGTAATTACGTGGTTTATGTTTTCCATTTCTTGTCTTCCTAATGGACCTGTATTATGATCCATAATAACAGCATTGCACAAAAATTAAATTGTGTGCAAGTGTTCAAATGCATTTTCATGCATTTCAAAATTAAACACTATCATATGTTTGAACTAAATAACCACAATATTTACATCATTTATAACAGTGTTTCTCAGCTGCTGGACTGTGGCCTGGTACCAGTGCCTGGCATCAATTACACCGGGCCATTTTATAGAAAAAAGAATTTATCGGGCTGTGGTCTGACAAAGGTTGAGAACCACTAATTTATAACATTAACAAATAAATCTGGACTGCAAAACTAATGGCATCTCATTTAAATGTTTCCATATTGTTCTCTAACACCCATTTCCTTTCATCCCATGCACAAAAACGGTCCATATTCATAATTCATAAAAATATAAGAATTTTCCTTCAAAATATAGTAGCATATATAAAGAATGGAAGATAGAGATGACTGAAAAATTGTGTGTACATTATAGTTTAAGAGGACATTATATGATCATTTTAAATGTTGTACAGAAATTGCTGCAATGGTATAAATAAGAAAGGAAGAATTGTCATCAAAATTAAAAAAACCATCATGCACAAAATTTTCTTTCAGTCATCTGTACATGCAGACATCTTTACATTATTCTTCAAGGCTGGTAACTAATGACATTTATAAAATGGCAAAAGAGCTTCAGTATTTTTACTTGGCCAATGGCAATTTTCTGTGCTAATACAGGATATGTACAAAATATGTATAAACTAGTTCTAATTTACAAAACATCAATTAAATATGTGGTGTATTAATATATATTATCCATTTTCATATAAGGCAAATAACTGCTGTATCTTCAGCTCAATTGATCAGTTACTTTTACAAAGCTATTGTATTATCATCTTAGCTAAATTTATGTCAGTTATAGATGTTACAGAAAGTTAACTACACAGAGTCAGGCAGAACTTTACATACACTTGTAGGTTTATAAGGATATCTGTCCTGTGCAGTATTATTCGCCTCAAATCTCATAGGAACTGTGAAGAAAACGCAAAATAATACAAATTCAGGATGTGTGTTTCAGTAAAAATTTAGCTTCCTCAACATTACTGAGACAAATTTCTTAGAACACTATAATATTTCTGTCAAGAGGCAATCCATCAGTATTTTACATATATTTATTCATACTAAGAAGTCCAAGGGTATACTTTATGATAAAGATGAAAGAGTCTCTAATATCAATAAACTCCATGGAATATTTGTTGGTAAATGAATGAAAACTACGCCCCCTATAAGTACTCCAATTATTGATGTAATGAATATCTACTACATAGATTGTAAGGAATTGTGTGAAAATTAAGAATTTTGAAATAACATCAATGACATTAAATTTCTTGATTCTGCCATTTTGCAATTCATTATCCATACTGCAGCTTTGTTCAGTACATATTTATGAGAATATACTGGATTCCTTGCTATGACAGTTAATTGACTGATTCTAATTCAAGGAGATAATTTAGTTTAAATTTTCTTTAAATGTCTACAATTTACTATGTTCTGTGTAAAGGGTTATAAGTTGATGCAGTGCAATATTATAATTGCAGTATTACTGAACCACAAAATGTAAATGGTGTTTTGTAAATGTAGAACAGAATAAAGTATGTATAAATTAGATACAATTCTTTGGAATAAGATACACATTCAACAAGCACCATAAATAATTGTCCTGCTCAGACGTAATGTAACAGCAGTTCATTCCTGTATGTGATGCAAAAAGCAAAATTGCTTCATGCAGTGTGAATGACATTGCTAAGAGAGACAACTACTGCTTAGCATGGTTTGTGTGATGAGGATGACGGGTTCTAGTTCGGATGATTGGATTTATTAGCACCTTGGTTACAACCTCCCTTAGTTACATTCAAATACAGTGCTATCGCTGAGTTACACTTCATAATCCACTGTTGCACGCACACTACGATTTCCAGTCTTCACAGATCTCAACACAGAAACTATAGCAGTCTCACTGAATCACATACTCCCAGTATCACACTTTTAGTCTTCACAGGTCTCCTACGAACTTCCCGTGGTTGTCTCCTATTGAGAACTCTCACTGTCACTTAAACACTCTCAAATACTCTGAAATACTGCCCTGGTTATTCCTGGAATCTTGTTATATATAGCCTCCACACCAACCACGCACAGAAAACAGCCTATATTGTTGAAATGCGTTTACCAAGCGACTGCAAAGCAATGGTCCTGGCATGGTCTCCATAGAAGCCAGTCACGTGATAGCTAGTACTGTTGCAGTGTAACATCATTGTGCCTGCACAGAAGTCTGTTTCCTGAACTGTTGCCTGAAGCAGGTTGCATAACCTCATTGAGTGCATTTACACAACTGAAGTCTGTTTACAGGTCGTTGCCTAGAAACGCTCTGGCCATCCATGTTACAGTATTTTGTGTTTGTGAAACTGAAGAAACAAAACTGATCTTCATAAATTTTAGGTTTTCAAAAACTGATTTGTAACAGCTCATTATGCTTATATTTTTAATAAAATGAATCTGAAATTTGTTTCAATTCAATTTTGAAAACATCAAAACTTGTGATAACTAGGAACCAGGAGACATGGTGCTATTTTGTATAATTCTAAATATCTGTCATGCCTTCATACATCCAATACTGAATCAAATTTAAAGCCATACATTAGAGCCATGCCCACTTTTAACACTTTGCGGACCGAATGCATGATATCATGATTTTAGGACACGTTAGGTTGTAACACACTATACCTTGCTCTGGCGCTATGCAACTGCAATGAATACTGCATAATAAATCTTCAGAATGTAAGCTAGGTATTCAGTAACTTGATCTGGCTGGCTAGGGTCCCTACTCCAAAAGAAAATAAACTTTGCCCCTTCCAGCTGTTTATGTACCAGGCAGGAAATTAGTGGAGGGGAATATGTTTCAAGCATGTTATGCAGCAAAGGGTTACGTACATGTAGAAGTAGTTTTTGGGTAAATTGGGAATCCCTACAATTAGATGTAAGATGGGAAAAAAAAACACAAAAAAAAAACTAAAACTGAATAGTAATAAGGACATGAACCGGAGAGCTGGGGTTACAAGGAAGTAAAAGAAATTCCTGACTAATCAGAATGTTAACACGACAGCGGGAACCGCTGACAATGCGGAAGGGCTATAAGAAAGGTGTCATAAGCACTAAGGCAGACGAAAAATGCTGAGTAGGAGGAGGCGGCTTACCAAAAGAGTCAACCCCTTCTCGATTGACAACCAATAATCAAGCTACACCGACCCAAAATCACGTCAGGGTAGGAGGACCCCTATACCCGGAAGACAACGAGTCAGCATAGCAGAGGTTATAAAAACCCGAGACGACCCATTTTAGGGGCTCTTTTCAGCTTTTTAGCTTTTTTTGGCTATTCGATTCGATTCTAGTCGGATCTATTCTTATTAATGTCATTATTACATTAGTACCTGAATTGTGGCCATGAGTGGACGCTGGATC